TTTGACTGTAAACCCCAAATCCAATTCTTTGACCCAGTGACCTGAGTGGAGGCTCTGACCCAACGGCAGCCCCATGGGAAGAGACAAGGGGTGGGAAGAGCCCCCCAAGGGAGCAGTGTCTCCTACCATAGCTTGCTTCCTCCACCCCAGAATACATTCCAGAACCCAGTGCTGGGAGCCCCCAAGAGGCACACAAAGACCACTCTAAATAAAAATCAAGAATGGATTTAGGACTTTGTTCATGTAGTTGCCAAAGAACAGCCCAAAGTCCTTACTAAAACTTTTTCACTATATCCCAAAGAAAGGCTTTAAACTCCCTGCTACGTGGCAGCCCCTGGCAATAAAACCAACTAAAGCCAGATGGTGCTAAAAAGCCCAACTGCTCCCAAGGAAGTTGCAGAAACACCCGGGTGATTCAGCCACTTGAGTGTAATGACTCTGACTCAACCCCAAACGCCCCACTGGGAAAAAGGAACATCAAGCCAGTGATATGTAACTGTTTAATCTTCAGCAGTGGCTTCCAGTGGTGGGATAGCTCTGTCCAGGACACTGGTCTGGGGCCATGTGGGCCAGGGAGTAAATGCAAACCTTGCACCAGGTGCCTCCGGTACAAACACTGAAGCAGCTCAAGCTCATGCACTGCCAAAGCTTTTCCATTGCAGGGGGGGCAGGGTCCCCTGGGTAGGAAGCCCTCAAAAACTCTGCAAAATCAAGCTGTGGAAGTTGCTTATCACTTACACTGGTTGTCCTCTTGGCTTTCAGATCTTGAAGCTTGTCTGCACGAGAGCAGCTCTTGAGGGATTCGTGTCATCTTCACCCAATGATTCAATAGTCATAACAATGGTGGGTATTATTTTTCTTAGATCTACTCCTTAATCCCATAATGCCATAAAATACCACTGAATCAGAGCTTAGCAGGATTCCAGGAAGGAGCAGACTTTTAAAGAGATAATAAGAACTCCACATTGACTTCAGATAGGATTGAAAAGAGGGAACAGGGAAGACAGAACATACCAGCTGGGCAGATTATTTCATATTTTTCCTTAATATGATTTCTTATACCTGAAGCAGCTGGTCATTCCACTAACAGAGATGAGATACTAGTTAAACAGGACAGGCAGACTGATCTAACACAGCAATTTTTATTTTCCTGCTACATGTAGGAGGGGTTCCCATTAAATCATACATCTCAGAATGAAGTAGGTGTGCCTAAAATCCAGTATCAAAGTGGGGAATGGCAGCAGTCCCTAGGGTCCCATGTAAACATGCTTAACTTGCAATAAAGAAAACAACACATCTTCTTAAACCTCCCCCTCCCTCACAGACAGCCAGAAAATGCTGTGAATTGATCAACAATAAAATTCACAGATCAGCCTCGTCCTTCACAGTTTTTGCAGAAAACTGAAGACAATCTCTCCTGCTCATTGCTTTGGAGATTTGTGTAGAAGTTCTGCAATCTGCAGCAGCACCTTGGGTACTGCCAATCTAGAAGCAGTGATTGTTTTCCAGACCACACAGAAACCTCATCCTTAAGTCCAAAAAACGAATCAAGCAAGATAGAAATGTGTTGCCTATGCCTACCTACCTCATTCCCCCACTGTTCTGCAGCAAGACTTGAAAATAAGATGCCTTGCACCAAAATACAAGTTCTCCCTTATTTTAGCCAAAAGAGGAGGTTTCTCAGTCATCCAAAATTTGTGTCATGAAGGCACATTGCTTTGCATACCCAACACAACCTTTCCTACTCAGCAGAAACATGAAACAAGCTCAGGACTAAGTTCTTAGAGGCACCACATGTGCTTCATGTTCCCATACGATCCACAGGACTTTTTGGGAATCAGTCCAGTGTAAATCCCAAGACTGCTTGAGTGATGACCAGCAGGGTAAGCTTTCCACCTCCCAGACTAGGTGAGCAGACTCAGGATTTAAGAAAATCATATCTCTCAAATAAACTGCATTATAGAATTGAAGACGAGAATCCAAACTACCAAAAAGGAACACCACAGTTCCCCAGATCAAGACACCAAGGTGTTCTGCTAGCCCAGGGAAAAACCCTTATCTTCTCCTAGGTACCATCCTGTCTCCAACACTTCTTAGACCATTTTCTCCAGGAAAAATCCCCTCTTCTCCCATTTCTGTTGCTTCTAGGCAGGGATTGAAAAGGTCATCAGCTGGGACTCATGATGCCTCATTGCCAACAGCTGCCTGCAAATCACTCTGAGCAGGAACACCTGCAGCTCCAAACCCTCACTGATACTGACCACCAGGTGCATGGAGTTACAAAAACTTAGCTACAAAATGTACCAAATTTCCCTTAAATGCTCCTTGCTACCCTTCACTTTGGCACAGTCACAAAGAGGGGCCAGGAATGATAGAATGGAAAGGACCTTAAGGGCCATCTAGTTCCAACCCCCCTGCATGGGTAACCTGGGCCTGTGTGTCCCCACCCTCAAACTAAAGATTCTCCTCCTGATGTCCAACCTAAATCTCCCCTCTTCAGTTTTGATCCATTATCTCTTGTCTTCTCCCTCCCTGCCCTTGTCCCAAGCCCCTCCCCAGCTTTCCTGGAGCCCCTTCAGGCACTGGAAGCTGCTCTCAGGTCTCCCTGGAGCCTTCTCTTCTCCAGGCTGAACAGCCCAACTCTCCCAGCCTGGCTCCAGCGCAGAGCTGCTCCAGCCCTCCCAGCATCTCTGTGGCCTCCTCTGGACTCTCTCCAGGAGCACCATGACCTTCTTATGTTGGGGGCTCCAGAACTGGACACAGTTCTCCATGTAGGGTCTCACGATAGCCAAGTAAAAGGGGAGAATCCCCTCCCTTGTCCTGCTGGCCACACTGCTTTGGATGCAGCCCAGGACACATCTGGTTTCTGGGCTCCAGCACAAATTGCCAGCTCATGTTGAGCTTCTCATGCACCACCACCCCCAAGCCCTCCTCCTCAGGGCTGTTTTGGAAGTCTGACCTAGCATAGCTCAGCACTCAGGAGAGTGACATTTGATCAAGTTCCTCTTTTTCTTTAAAAAAAGATAAAATCAAAAGGAAAAGAAGGCAGGAGCCACAGTCACTGGTAGAATAGCCCGAGTCCACCCACATTCCAGATGCTGAACAGCCTTTAGTTGAACCAAAGAGGCTTCAGGATTACATCTAAAACCAATACATGCTTTGTAATGCTTATCAGCTGGAGGGTTTTCAACAGTTTCTCCCCACTAATGCCACCATTTCAAAATCATTTAGGCTAATTTCCTTCGACTTGAATCTATTTTAATCAGAGACCAGGATACTTGACTTAAATGGTTTGTATTAAACCCTCCATAAAACCTGCCATAAAATTGCACGTACAAAACAGAGAATGGGTCTTGAAGTCAGCAGCAGAAAAAGCTGAAACTTTTAAAATCCTCCAGCAAATTCAAGCCTATTTCAATACCAAACCAACTGCTCTCTTACAATACCAAGACTATACAATACCAATCCTTAAAAAAAAAGCAATAACCAAAACACAATCCTGAAGTTCATACATAGATAAAAGACACTACGTTCTGCAGCTGTAGTCAGAACTCACAAATTCTCTCCAAAGCATTAGCCCAGCTCCAAAATGACACATATTTAATAAATTGCTGTGTCTGCTCTGCCCTCTCCACCACCCTCCCATGAAATGATGGATAGTGGCACTGAGGAAGAATACAATGCAAGCCTAAAAATGTCAGAATTAATCCTTTTCTTCTCCCCAAGATCTGCAAAAAACATTACTTCTCAAATTAATTCTCACAAAGTAATGCTGGCTCTGCTAGAAGTCAGAGTTCTGGCTGAGAAATGAAAATAAGAAGCTCAGACTTGGGAAACTGCTACAGAAGGTCTCACTTGAAGGATTTGTCATTGTAGTGGGATTTGCATCTCATATAACCCAAGGTGCAATTTGTACCTGCAATTCATTTTGTCCATAACAAGTCACACCTGCAGAACTGGAGGCTGGGCCTTCAATTCCTTTGAAAACTCATCCAAATATTTCTGTTGTCAGAAGGTGACAGCCTTGGAAACTCAGAGTGACTGCTTGAAATTCATGCAGCACCAAGAGAAGCAGAGGAATAAAAGCTCTCCATGCTCTCATATCCGTAACAATTTGCCAGCACACTGGAGACCTGTGGCTGCAGCCCCTGGCTGCATGGTGTGCCATAGTTTGCAGATGCCAAGCCCTGGCTCTGTCACTGTCCTAATGATCCAGGCATTGGACACGGATCTTTCACAATCTAAATCTCTCTCAGCTCCTTTTCCTTTATCGGGGATTTCACTCCAGGCCTGGATGAATTGACACTTTCCTGTTTTGAGGAACACTCTGCTGGCCATATCTAAAGTTAACTTTCATGAAGATAAACTTCCAGCAATATCTTCTCTCACACTCTTTTAACAAAATGATTTGGCATCTCATGTAAAGTCGGTTCTTCTGCTTAGCAAGTAAACCTTGTGTCATCACCATCATCTGAAAAGGTCATTCTGAAGGATGGATATTGCACCTGAGCCACTGGGCTCCCTTCAAAGGCACCTGCACAGATCTCTCATGGGAGAGCCCAGAGCAGTGTCCCAGGAGAAGGACTGTGGGGGCAGCCTGAGAGCCCTGGGGGTCTTGCAGGGCCATGAAGGAGCTGACAAAGGAGGAGAAAGGAAGAATCCTTGCACACATTTACAGGGTAAGAGCCACCAAAGGCCAACAGCTCAGTGAAAGCCTCTGCTGCCAGTGAACTTCTGATGGTGTTACCACCAGCAACATGATGGACAATGGAGAGAGGGAGAAGGTGGGAAGAAACTCACTTTTTTCCCCCCTAATAAATCGTCTTTATGAACTATCTCAGCTTCAGCCAAACTACGTCAGTTGCTCATTACTGTGAAAGCTAAGGAGGAAAGCAAACAGCATCACAGGAGAGGATGAAAGCAATCAGCACTCCTGGCTCTCAGACAACACCCAGACAGACACTCTCAGACAACCCCTTCATGGAGCTACCAGCACTTACCTGGTTGGACGATAATCTGGGATGGAACGATCCAGTGAAATCTTCTCACTGAGGTAGGAGTTGTAGCCATACTTCTCATGTGGTCCCTTTGCTTTCTCCTCCTCCTCAGGGGACAAGGTGGCTGGGAGCCCACCTTTACCACGGCCACCATAGCCTTCAATGAGACCAAGTGACTTGGACAGACCTCGAGAGGAAAAAAAACAAACAACCACCATCACTGTTAAAATCCATCACTTCTTTCCAAGATGTCAGAGAAACAAAAATACTCTGAAAATCCCGGGTGTTTTGGTTTGGTTTTCTGAGAAGATTTTAAAATGTAGCTCTTTGGCCCATTGCTAGAAAGAAAATGACTTGAGTCTGAACATTCAGGGCTCAGGCACACTGTTCAGGATAGCTCTGCCACCAGCATCCAACTGATAACCTGTCCCAGGGATCTGTGCATTTATTTAGTTGTTAGGAAGGTTATTTAGGCCTCCTTCCCACTCCCAGAGAGGTAATTACATATAAGGTTAGATGTCCCCAGGAGAAGGGTAGGTTGAACACAGAAGAAGAATAAAACAGGGTTGGTTAACTGCCAGCTGAATGAGTTTTTGCTCAGTGTGAACAGCATACAAATGGTATGGATTTAAAAACAATTTCCCCTCCAAGCTTTCTTATCTTTTAAAGTATAACATTCCCAGACCTTTATCAAGAGGAGTTATTTATTTATATCTGCATAGCTGAAGGAAATAGGCAAAATTCAAAATGAGCTGCACAAAAAAGAGCTATATTGATGATTTGGTGGTGATTGTGGGAAGCCAAATTCATGCTCATGTTATTATTTATTATACTGGACACTTGGAATTCTAATATTTTTCATTAGCAGAGTCACTCTTTTTATCAGAAACAAACAAAAAAAAGATGGATTATTTGGAGAGGGTTATAATTTAAAAAAAAACCCAACAAAACACCACAGTATCTGTTCCCCTTTGATTTAATGGCAGAGTCCTGAGTCTGGGAACAGCACAGACTGTCATCATAGAGCCACTGAATAATTTTGTTTGGAAAAGACCTCTTAAGATCATCAAGTCCAACCCTTAACCCACCCCTGCCCCATGTCCCTCAGCACCACATCTACATGGCTTGGAAATCCCTCAGGAAGGGGAACTGCCCCCCCTGCCCTGGGCAGCCTGGGCCAGGCCCTGACAGCCCTTTGGGGAATAAATTGTTCCCAAGATCCAAGCTGAACCTCCCCTGCACAACTTGAGCCCATTTTCTCTTGTCCCATCCCTTGTTCCTGGGGAGCAGAGCCCGACCCCCCTGGCTCCAACCTCCTCTCAGCAGCTGCAGAGCCAGCAGGTCTCCCCTCAGCTCCTTGTCTCCAGCCTGGACACCCCCAGCTCCCTCAGCTGCTCCTGCTCACACTTGTGCTCCAGCCCCTTCCCCAGCCCCACTGCCCTTCCCTGGACACGCTCCAGCCCCTCAAGGCCCTTCTTGTTGTGAGGGGCCCAGAACTGACCCCAGGATTCCAGGTGCCCCCTCAGTGCTGAGCACAGGGGGATGATCCCTGCCCTGGTCTATCTGGCCACCCCAGTGCTGGTACAAGCCAGGATGCTGGTGGCCAACAAGGCCACCTGGGCACACACTGGCTCATATTCAGCTGCTGGCAACCAACAGCCCCAGGTCCTTTGCCACTGGGCACTTTCCAGCCACTCTCCCCCAGGCCTGGAGGCAGGACCTGGCACTGAGCCTGGTCGAATCTCATCCAGCCCGTCCAGGTCCCTTGTCACCACTGGTGTCCCTGAAGGGAGATGAACCATGCACAGGGCTTCACAATGAGCATGATCCAGTTCCCAACCCTACCACAGATTTGCATGGCCCTGGATAAGAGACTCTGCCTCCCAGTCTACAAGACACAGATTAAAACACTTTTCTCCTCAAAACGTAGTATTGTGAGGCAGTAAGAAAATCACCTATGAATGCAAATCATACTTTTAAGCACTTGAATAGAAATTATTATTATTCCTTCTGACAAGAAACCTCTAAACAGCCTTCCCTTCCAGGGAGGTTCTGAAGGTTGATAGAGTCTCTCTGACTGCACTGGGCTTGATTAGATTTTGTCACAGGGCAATAATAACAAATCAACTGCATGGAGCAGCTGACTGCAATGTGGGGAGGGATGAGATATCCAAGCTGTCTCTTTCCAACTCTAGGCTCTGCAACAGCCAGAAGACTAAGTCAAGAAAGCTGGGAAAGGGGAAAATTTCTGGTCTGTAGAAGGTTGGCAGATCACTCCACTAATTTCTAACCCCAAACAGCTGGAAGAACAAAGTTCAGCTTGCTTACAAAGAGACACTAGTTTCATTTCAGACACAGATTTAAACAGAAAAAAACCCAATATTTAAAAATAATAATAATAATCCTCACAGAAACAGACCTTCTCTGCTCAGGAACAGTTCATCTGTAGATTTATACATTTCCTCAGGGTACTACATCATGTCCTCCTTGTTACACCAACAAGACAAGGCTTCCTCTGTTCATCAGCAGAGTGTTTTACCACTATACACCTTTTAACAGAAATTCAGTTTTTAATGTTTATTCCTTCTTATCCACCTTCCCCATGAAAGGTTTCCACCAAACTCTGTAAGAAGTTCTCTTGCTGCCTATCAGTGCTAGTTCTTTAGTGGAAAGATGTATTCACACTTGGAAAACCTCCAGCCCTTTGCCAACCTGCTTGACATTGGCCCAATGGGGTCAGAAGTTACACACAGAGACACAACGATCAAGAAGGAGTTAGACCATGATCCCATCAAGTTATTTTCTTGAAGAACTGGGCTAAAAAGTAAAGAGTCAGAAATGTTCTCAAGTCACAGACCAAATCCTTCCTCATTCTGGCACCAAAGCAGAAGTGCTGAACCACTGTCAAAAGAGTCTCTCCTGATGCCTGCTCTTATCTTTAGAGATAAACAGCACAATTCCTCACCCTCAATCCCCCCCCAAAAAACCACCAAACAACAACAAAAAGGCTTGTTCTTTGGAGGGAATTCACTCCCTAGTGAATTTTGCAAGCTCATGAGATGGTAATGGGCTGCATCAGGATTAGATGCTCAGTGTAGATCAGAGCTCTGAACACTTGTGAGCCTCCCTCACCCTTAAGTCACACTCACCCAACAAGTACCTTAGAAACAAAACCAGGAGATTCTTCAGAATCTCCTAGAACATCTGAACTTTGGGACAAAAGGAGTGTGTTGCTCTTCCATTACAGGAATAGAAGGAAAAAAAGACACCACTTGGAGCTGCTAAGATCTGAGCCACCCCTGCTGAAAGAAGCCAGACATCTGATCCCCTGGGGTCTGGCAAAGAGTTGGTTTCCTTCAAGAGGATAGAAAAATTCAATCTCAACAGCAAAATTATTCCTCGACTGAGTGCAGTTATAGTAAATATATTATTCTCTCCTTAAGCTAGCATTATATTTCATAAGGAGACAGGAGTTTTCTAGGCTAGAGAAAACCTTTGGTAAAATACAATCAAATGTGATACACAACCTTCATTTATAAAGCACCCAGGCAAAGAGGCTCCCCAGGCAGCAGGTGTGTTGGAAAAGCATCTTGCTACATGTCAGCCTAGATGAAGGAAAACATTAACCCCATCAGTACAAACCTTAGCCAAGGAAACTTCTTTCATGAGGAAAGCTAGGGTAGAGTATCTGAAATCAAAAGGCATTTCTGAGGAAACAGGGGCCCTGTGTCTTTACACTGGGGGTGGAGGAGAAGGAAAATAAAAAGAACAGGAGGAAATAATTTAGGAAAGATTTCTGAAAAAGCAAAATGTCAGTTGCATCCTTCCTGTTGTGTTAGAGAGTAGGTACAGCTCAGACTGAAAGGCACGTTCCCATGGGAAAGAAGTGATGCTGAAAAATAAGGGAAGCATAAAGAGAAAATTCAAGTAGATGTCTTTGAAAAGTGCAGCTCTTTTGAAGCGAAGAACCACAGACCTTCCAGCCCCAACAGCTCTCCCAGGGACATGGGTTTCTGGACTCACTTCAGCCAGAGATGTGAAGGCTTGCAAGACATTTCTGACTCAGGGAAGACATGCAAAACCAATGGGGTGAGTGGCCAAATTCAGGCTGTGTGTGTTGCACTGCAGCCACTGCCTGTGTCCTCCCAGGGAAGCCAGAAGGAGCATCCAGCAGATTGGCTGGTAGGGGAGTTTTATAAGAAACTAGAATAGATAGCAAAGGGCAAAATGTCATAGGTAATGATAGAAATTACAGAAAACTGCTGAAGTTTGTAGAGTTGTCCTGCTGATCACTGCAAATACAAACTATTACAGGGAGGACTCATTAACGATAAGGGTAATTGGCAGAATAACAGGCTCTAATTTTCCTTTGCAGCTGTGGTGGAACCTGAGACCTGGCATTTTCTCTTTTCTCCCTGCAGCAGTTTTTACACAATTTTTACCCTGTCTTTGCTCAGACCTTTGGTTTATTAGACTAAATAACACAAGTTTCTCTGTCTGTAGGTTAAACCTACATAAGGTGCAACTGTGCACTGTTAAAGGGCTGTGGGAATTGCTTAGGGAGTAGGAAATGCAACTGGCTCTGTCAGCTTCCTCTGCTCTTACTGCCTCCCCAAAGCATCCTTAGAGTCTTGCAAAGAAAACAAAGTAGTAAAGGGATTAGAAGACAAGAGATCAGTTTCCCGGGGGGTGCGGAGGGGGGGAGGAACCACACCATAAGGTTTTAAAATGAGCTTAAATAGTAGAGTCCAGTGGAAAAATCACTATACCCCTGAACCCTAAAGCAATTTAATTCAGTGTACATGCCAGGTACATTTTCCCAGGGCTGCCCACTTCTCAAAAGCCAGATATACCCTCAAAATCTGATGGGGCAGCAAGTTTTCATATCCCCCTTGGTGAAGGATCAATGCTACCCCCTTCCAGTTGGACAGTACTTCTCCAGGGAGCTGGTCTTTTAGCATATCTGAACATCTCCTTCAGCTGCAGGGATCTACAGAGCCCTTTGGTGTCCTTTGCCATGCAGCAAATGATTTGTGGATTTGCCACAGGAACATGATGACTGGCAAAAGGTGGTTTCAAGAAAATTTCAAACTTCTGGCTTCCCACTGAATGACAAATGGGAACTCAAAAAAGGCAGCAGATGAACCCTGGGGGGCCCCTGCCTGGCAAGCAGGGATGTTAGCTAGGCTGGGCAAACTGAAAATACTGAGTATTTTAC